ACTGCTATACTCAGACTGGGACGGTATACGGGAACCCACGCGTTAGATTCAAGCAAAGACAGTATCTAATGAAGCCCCCAAAGGGGGCATTTTAGAGCTGATTTGCTTGGCTCTAGCGCGGGGGGGGCTCCGGCACCTATACTCAGGACCTGAGGCAGTAGGTGGAAAGAGACAAACGTGCGAGGGGCTTTTAAGGGAAGCAGCCGTTCTTTAAAGGGTATTTCAATGCCGAATTTGGCATTGAAATGCCCATGTACATGAGATAATTTGAATTCTGCTTGGCATGAATAGAGTTCGAAGTGGATTCTTGCGAATCCCAGGAATGAGCGATGATGAATCGCACCCCAAGTTGTCACCATCCCGTTAGTCTCACTCACGTTGGGCATAACGTCAGGCTGTGTGCGTGCCTTGGGGTGGAAACGAAGTGTTAAACACGGCTCATTCCTGAACTGGCAAGCATCGACGTCCACTTATCTCAAGCCTGGAAAACTAGTATCCTCCTGGTATTCTGATTCTCCCAGGGTTGGCAATATACTAGTTCGGCAAAGGGAATGTCTCGATTGAGTTCGTTGCTCCTCAACTTAGGGGATCATGCGGAACCTCCGTAGCAGAGTTAAGCTCATAGAAGGTGGTCATAAAGACCAACCCGCAGTCCTGCCCTTCATAGAATTCCGTTGGGTGATAGTTGAAACATTAAGAGGGACAGATACCATTGGCATTCTTTACCGAGAGATCCAGAGCATCTCCTCCCTCCCGGTCCCTGTATAATGTAACACGCTAATTGCCGACAGTAGCCGTAGCGCACTTCATCCGATCCCTGAGGTATCCGTGGTCTAATTCCCAAGCGCATCCGAAGGGTTTCCCAGTTCCACTCCGCCGCATGAGCCACCTCTAAGATCACCGCATCAGCCACCTCAGGATCCCAGCGAGGACTGAGAAACTGGGGAAGACAAATGAGGGGGATTTTCCCCTACTGAATGCTTTGGATGTGGAAATAAGTCTTCGTATTAAGGCGAGTCCGTACGCACTATAAATTGCTCTCCCCTGGATGTGCTTCTAAGTCTCCCTCTCCTCCTCATGGAGAGTTAATGGGCGGCGCGCGCTAAGCAAACCGACCACGCTTTTGATTGATCCGAAACCCCCCCCAAGGAGGGCCCAACGGGACTTATCTCCGGCGGGTGGATAGTTTCCGATCTCAGAGAATTAGATGCCGTTCCACGGACTACATTCTCGAAACTTTAGAACGTGGCGTTCTAAAGTACCCTTATCCTCTCATCAGACCTGGCTGTGATTCGTCCCGCTTCGTCCTTCAACTCTTAGCCCTACCACTCGGGTCGCCCCACCATTTCTCGCTTAAGATGTTGGCGGCAACGTGTTGGGACAAGCGGGACCACAGACCTCTACCATGGGAAATCGATCGGCGCGTAGGGGGGCCGAGCGGGACCGGGTTACCTAAATTAGAAAACCTAACCATCCCATCCTTAATAACAATGAAAGCTCACCCAACCATCCCATCCTTAATGCAGAAAGACCGCGCCAACCGAAGGTAATGTATTTATATACGTGATACCCGCCACTTTCATCAATATGGCACCCCCCCTTTTCTATCAGCAAATATTAGAAAGGGGGCAGGGAGGCCATTATAGCGGACTATCAAATGGTCATTATAGCTGGGGAGGGGTCTTTTCCCCCCCTAACAATTCCCCCCCTAACAATTCCCCCCCTGATCAATTTCAAGAAAAGCAGCGGATAGAAAATAGTTGAAGGCGGATAGAAAATAGTTGAAGGCGGGGGTGGGCATGTTACGTATATAATGCGGCCCTGCAAATTTCAATTAGTACACCTTTGGTTCTCTCATAATTGCGAGTCGGGGCAGAAGCCGAGAGAAAATAGGTTCTGATTGAAGGCGGATCCTATTTCAGGCCAGGCGGGAAGGCTAGACCCCGGAGTTTCGGAGGCCCCAATTCATTACTCGGCCTTATTGCATACCGGGTATGCGGCCGAGGATAATACTATACTGCTACGCTGTGAACGAAGTAATACTAGAGGACCCCACCGGCCTTATTATTAGACCCCACCGGCCGACCCCACCGGCCCTATTATTAGGGGAAAGGTGATTATCTACTAGGAACGCCGTAATATAGAACGAACCCCAAGGACCCCACTTGCAGGCGTTGTTCCTGCATTTTTGTTTCTTGAAAAGAGAACCCGAAGAATGAGATTTTGGCTTTCATTCGAAGAATGAGCAGGCGGGAATGCATAAAAAGGGAAGCATAGTTCCTGCCGGGACTCGAAGAAGGAGAAATATTAGGTGTTTAATATGGGAATATTATGCTTCGAGCCTCTCTCCGGAGTGCTATCCCTCGCTCCTTAGGTCGCTCCGGATATCGCTCCTGCGATCGGAGATCGTTTTTTTGTTTGGACTGTCCTGTCCTGTACCCCCCGTAGTTCGTGCTGGGCCCCCTTCGCCTTTTTGGGGCTACGGGGCCCAGCCCTCCTCGGGGAGGCAGGCCAGTCCTAAAGAAAAAAACTTGCCATGTTCGGGTATCCAGGTGGGGCCCCTCTTGGGAGGTGCCCTACCTGTCTACCCCCGCCTAACCCCACTTGCAGTCGGAGCGTTGTTCCTGCATTAACACAAGGACAAGGACCCCACTTGCAGTCGGAGCGTTTTTACCCGCCTTTTTGTTGATTGATCCGGAAGTCGGAGCATTTTTACCTGCATTTTAGTTGATTGAAAGGACACCCACGGGTGGTAACACGATGAAGTTATTTGCTTATAATGACTAGTTATGACCCGAGCCCCCCGGTTATGATCCTAACAAAGGGACAAGGACAAGGACAAGGACAAGGACAAGGACAAGGACAAGGACCCCACCGGAAGTCGGAGCGTTTTTACCTGCATTTTTGTTTCTTGATTGGGTAATAAAAGTATACAGAACCTACTATAACACAAGGACAAGGACCCCACCTGCAGTCGGAGCGTTGTTGCTGCATTGGACCCCAGGACCCCAACGAATGACTCGGCCTTATTCCATACCCCCCGAAGGGGTATGCGGCCGAGGGGTGGATGTGACGTATATAGATCGGTGGGTACCTTCTGAAGTTCGCAAGAACTTCAAAGTTTGGGTTCGAATCCCGGGAGATCTTTGTTGAATAGGCGTAGAGCGAACGCGACTCTACCCGAAGTAATCTGCTTCTCGGGGGATAGCTCTACGCCGGTCTCTCATGTCGGATATCGGTTTTCGCATGAGCAATTACTGCTATACTCAGACTGGGACGGTATACGGGAACCCACGCGTTAGATTCAAGCAAAGACAGTATCTAATGAAGCCCCCAAAGGGGGCATTTTAGAGCTGATTTGCTTGGCTCTAGCGCGGGGGGGG